AGCTGAACATCATCATATTTTTGACTTGACCAGAAACATTCTGAAGTTCTGAAGAGGAAGAACAGGAAACATCACCGCAGTGCAGGGGCAGGCAGGCTGGCCACGGGGGCCTTCAGGCCTCTGCTCAGGCCTGTGGCTTTTGGGCAAGGCTGTCCCAGCTAACAGAAAGGCAGCTTCAGTGCTCTTTCAGCAAGTTCTAGCAAATCTCCGCAATAAACGTCATGACTCTCTTGGCTAGAGGACACTGAGGAGAACCTTCCCCAAGCCCCTCCCCTCAGCTTCAGTCCCCAGTGGAGGAGGAACATCTGCTTGTGACCAGTGGCTCAGCCGGCGACCAGTGGCTCAGTTGGCACCCTGCTCATTCCCAGCTGCCAAGTGGGCTGGTCATGGGCACGACTGCTATCCACTTTACTTTAATGGCCATGGAATAAATGTCACAATTATACTTTTTTATGACCCAACAAGTAAAATAATACAAAAACCTGGGATTGTCCAAGAGTAGCGGTTTCTCAGGCCCACGTACACTCTTCAGACCCACAGGAGAAAGAAATCCTCCAGAGCTTTAATTATTGTAAATGGAAAAGATTCTGTTACTTTCATCCATGCTCCTAGGAAACCTGGATTATACACAAAATCACTAACTGAGAGTACTTGTGAATTTCATTTACCTTCGCAGGCTCACAATTTTTCCTCAAGTTCTAGGTTGAAATGTTCAGTGACTATACGAGTAAGCTAATGCCCACAGTCTGGATCTGAAATGCCCCCGAAGGCCACGTGCTGGCTGCTGGTGCTGGCTGGGAGCTTCTGGATGTGACAGGACCCTGGGGGCCCTGACTTCACCAGCAGACCCATCCAGCGGAGTCACCACGTGATGACAACTTGGTGACAACCTTTCCATAACTGGGTGGAAGGTGACGGACCATCAGAAGGTGTTGAAGGAGGGGGGCCATGACTGCGCAGCCGCCGTCTTCCCCTGGCCCCCTCCTCTCTGGCTTGTTTCCCTCTGCTTCCTGACTCCACAAGGGACAGCTGCCCTCCGCCTTCTACCATGACCCTCCTGCCTTGGAGCAACCACATGTGGCCTGAAGCTCCGAAACTGTCAGCCAAATCAACCTTTCCCTCTCAGAACTGCTATTCTCAGGCTTGTTGCTGTTGTGTAGCTGGGCATGGTGGTACACCAACACCTGTGATCCCAACACCTGGGAGGCTGAGGCAAGAGAACTGCTGTGAGTTCAAGGCCAGCCTCAGCTACAAAATGAGACTTTATCTCAAAGAAAAACAGAAACAAAGCAAAAAAAAAAAGTACTTGTAGCTTGTATTTCCCTCCTAGGGTCTAATTTTTCTGTCTATATACATCTTAGCAAACAAATCACTTTTTTTCAACACTGGGTCAAGCAGCGACAAGATCAAAAGAAACTTCTTTCTGGGGACCTTGCACTGTCTTCACTTTGATAAAGGCGTATGTTAAGGGTCTTCAGCGAGTCCACTGCTCTGATGACAGAAGCAGCGCAGCTACCTAATACGCCGTCTTTAACACCGTAGAAAGCGCGCCGTGCTTCTGGCCTCCTGTCCTCGTGGAGCCCCCAGAGAAGAGACCTTCTCGTGCACCAGACTCTAACAGCAGGAGAAGGCCGCCGGCCCACTGCTTCTGCTGCCATGCCAGGTGCTTGGGGTGCCAGCCTTTAACAAGACCCGGTCACCAGCACACGACTTCCACGCTAGAACACAGGCGGCCACTGAAGACTGCGAAGAACAGAAAGGGCAGAATATCCCGGAGCTGGGAGCGGCAGCTTCACCCCAGCTGCTGAAGCGTGGATGAGCCAGCAAGAGGCTCCCAGCTCCCCAGGACCGAGACCGGGACCAAGGTGGGGGCACAGTCCCACCCACTGCAAGGCTGCCGGAGAGGGAGGAGGAGGGTGGGGCGGGGGGCCGTGTGTCCCAGCCATGCAGCTAGCGCTGTGGTGCCTTCCGCCGAGGAGTGGCTCAAGGAGAAGACGCTTCACCACCAAACATAACGAACAAATCAACAGATGCTATGAGGATGGAATAGTGAGAACAGAAAGATCACGGGGCAGAGTCAGCACGCTTCTTCCGTGAAGGGCCAGGGCTATTTCAGGTCGAGCGGCACAGAAGCAGCTAGACATGCTACGCAAATACAGGGCCAGGGCAGCTCACTAACGGAGCTTTATTCACAGAAACAGGGAGGCTTTCGCCCAAAGGCCACGGTTTGAAAACTCCTAAGATAGAAAAAAATCCCACATAAGCCGGCATGCTTTACATTTTTATTAACATTACTGTGATTATGATTTTTGAGTCAGGGTCTCGCTACACAGTACAGACAGGTCTGCAACTCATTATGTAGCCAGGGCTGGCCTCACACTTGTGGTGATCCTCCTGCCTCCGCCTCCCCAGTGCCGGTGTTACAGGTGTGTGCTTCCATGCCCGGCTTCCCATTTTGCACGCTAGCACTCTTCATGTACCCCTCCTTGTGGAAACAGGATCACAAAATCAAAGTGTGTTTGTCCCTAAAATATAAACCCTGTGAGGCAAAAATTTTGTTATGCTCCCAACTCTGTTTCTGGTGCTTTTAAGAGTCTGGGGCATACAGCTGACATACTCATAGGTGCTCACGTGAAAATGTTTTGATAAAGGATGGGATAAGCGACTCAGCATGACGTAGAGGGTCATCCTGACTGTAGGCAGCACCACAAAACCCACTTCCGCGGCCATCTCTGTCTTGTTCCTTCTTTAGAGCAAAACTGAGCAACTACATTGGGACCAAGGCACCAAAAGTAAGAGTCTCTCTAAAAACTGTAATTTAGGAAAATTGGCTTTTCAACAGCTAAGCTATGGGGCTGGTGAGATGGCTCAGTGGTCTAAAGCACCTACTTATACTTAGAACAAGCTTAGCAAAGCACAAGGACCGCGGTTCAATCCCCCAGCACCACATGCCAGCCAGTCCCCCCCCTCCCCCTGTGGGCTGAGCTGGCCACACACACACACACACACACACACACACACACACAAATAAATAAAAATTTTTAAAAAAGTAAATATATTAAAAAAAAAAAACAGGTAAGCTAACAGGAAAGCACGTATAGCTTGCTTTCTTCCCACTCAACTTTGTCTTAGTTAAGTAGTTCTCCAATAAATTCACTTTTACAGCAAAGACAGAATCCAAGAGGACAAAGCCAGTCACTCTCATCTTCTGCGAACTGTACGCTCAGGGAGATGCAGGCGGAGCGTCCCTTATCCAACACGCTCGGGGGCAGAAGGACTTCGATGCCTGGATCTTCGGATCCTGGGGCTGGGACCTGCCGCTACCGTGGAGTTCATCTACGCTGCACGGTCTGGCCGCGGTGACTGGCGGCATCCTCACTGCAGCTGCAGCTGCAGCCCGACCGCAACGCATTGAGTAAGGTCAGGTGTGGAAGTTTCCATTCATGCTGTCATGCTGGTGCTTAAAAAGTTGCAGATTTTAAAGCATCTCAGATTTTCAATTTGGGGATTCGAGATGTTCAACCTATAGGACGTTTTCCAGTATCTTCAAGTCATACCACGATAATCTTTTCAGTTCTAGGACATTATCTTTCCAAGTCGTCGTAAGGACTGTCACATGTTATCAGCGCCTTATCAGGCTATGCCTACAGAAAGGTAAAAAGCATCGTACACTAATCTTACACAGCCTCGGAAATGTGCAGTTACTGCAGATTAATGCAGCGACCACTAAAGGGCCCCGTCACAAGGGCATGACAGTAAGCAGGACAGGAGGCACTGCTGCGGTCTTGTCAGTTCCCAAAAGTTGATTGAGAAGATAAATGTTTAAAAAATTAAAGTATGACAATATATAACCAAACGCTGAGTAGAGTAGCTTTAAGCCCTAAGTTCAATGGGACCTAAGCTCAAAGCCTAACATTAAGGAACCTTTAGATTATCGGATTAGAAGGATTTCTTCTTTCCTGTAAGACAACTTAATGATCATCCAACAGCCTCACCTTACAGATGCGGTCCATTCTTCTACTAATAAGAATGGGATCCTAGTTATCATCAGAATGGTGTATTTTAGAAGTGTGTTTTATGGAGGATATTTTAAGTCTACTAAAGCTCAATCAAATGTTCTCCCTTGGTAAAAAGCACACGAGTTCCTATCCCGAGCCTGTCCAAACCCTCACAGTCAGCATAGGGCTGTGACTGCAGACTGCACTGTGAGTACCTCACCTCGTGCACACACCCTCCAGGGCGCAGAGCACCTGGCACCTCCTGGCCAGGTCCCTTCAGTTCTCCCGCACAGCAATCAGGAATGGAAGCTGCTTGCTGACTCCTCCTATAGTTGGGCGGGCAGCAGGTGGGAGGAGGAGAGGTCCAGCCTAGGGGAGCACAAGGTGAGTCCCAGCCGCTTCTTTTACTACATCTTCTTTGGCCGCAAGAGGGTATTTCTGATTTTCCTGCTGACACATTTCCTTAGAATTTTATTTATTTTATTTTAAATTTTTATTCATTTCCTTAGAATCTTAATGCAGCCAGGGAGATGGCACAGTAGAATAAGCGCTTTCCTGGCAAGCACAAGGGTCTGAGTTCAATCCCCAGTTCCGAAAAAAAAAAAAAAAAAAAAAGAATTTTAATGCAGTTTGCCTCCGAAACTAAGTTGCTTCTCCTCATTTGTTTTACAAGCAATTTTCTAGAACACGTGCATTTTGTTTTTTTTTTTTAAATTTTATTTATTTATGTGTGTGTGTGTGTGTGTGTGTGTGGCCAGCTCAGCCCACCAGGGGGCGGGGCTGGCTGGCATGTGGTGCTGGGGGATTGAACCGCGGTCCCTGTGCTTTGCTAAAGCTTGTTCTAAGTAGGTGCTTTAGACCACTGAGCCATCTCACCAGCCCCGAACACGTGCATTTTGATAAAGAAGCAAGAGCTGTATTCCCAGGGTAAGCACAACTACAAAGTAGGACGTGGTTACACTCTGATCTCAGAATAATAGGCCTAAATCATCCAGCACACACCTGGGCTTGCGCACCCTCCCAGCAGTGAGTGATACCAGCCATAAACTCTGAAGGTCCTGTGCAGGAGCTCGAGAGTCTCTGGTCGTGGGCCCTTCTCAAAATATCACGCTCATCAAAGATCTTGATGCAAGAATCAACTATTAAGTGAGACGCTATCCGCTGGTATCTGAATAGCGCACAGAGGGTCACTGTGCCCAGAAGCTCCGAGGTGAGCGCCCACGTTATGCACATGCACACACACACACACACACACACACACACTCCACAAGCTGAAACGCGCTGAGGACGAATGTCAGTAGACGGGCTCGGCACATCTTTCACTCAGCAAGATCCTGCAAAACGAGATGAAGAGGTTGCTGCAACGGTAGCAGTGAAAAAAAAGATTTTTTTTTAAAGGCAGAAGTATTCCTGGCAAGGTTCAGATGGAAAAATAGCAACAGATCCCAGAAGCAGAGCTGTAGCCAGGAATAACTTAAATTCAAGCCATTTTCAGTAAGAGTAGGAGAATGATGCTACGGACTCATTGGATAGCTACTCTGGTCCTCGGGGCCTCAAGCCTGAAGCATGGCTTGTGGTCCTCTGCAAGTCAGTCCACGAAGTTCACCAAATATCGTCCATGCTATATGTGCAACACACTAAGCAGAATCCTGTGGGGTGAAAGTCATCACCGAGAAGACACGTAAACACCTTTGCATCGCAACTCACCAGGGAAGCACTCTCCCTATTTTACACAGAGCAGTCATGCTAAAGAATTCCACGAGGCCACGTGACTGAACAGTGGCACTGGGCCCTGACTACAACACTGCCAACTCCAGAGCCCATGACAGCACCTCACTATATAAAATATGGCTCATTCCCTAAAGTACCTTAAAATAACCTAAACCAACCGAAATCAATGTAGGCAAGAGTGACTGGCTAACAAGTATCTCAAGACTTTAAAGAAAGAAAGGAGAAACAAGTAGAGAAAATCTTACAAAGAAGTAGGCCATGGGTTTCTCCATCACAGAGGTAGCCTGGCCCCTTCCTCAGGACAGGAAGAAAGCCACACCACAGGGTTCAAGCACAGACAGGCAGGGTGAGGCGCAGGAGGGCGGGCCAACTCAGCTGCTTGGGCTCACGGGAATGGACAGCAGCTAAGGGCTCCCAGCAGGACGCTGCAGAGGCCAGAGAGGAAGCCTCCCGCTGGCTCTGACACGTTCCTCCTCGGACACACAGTCAGCGAAGCCTGGTGACGCGCTCCTGCGCTGGAGCAAGCACACAAGGGCAGCGCTACGCCGAGCACGTGGCAGAGGCCTTGACGCTCATGGACACAACAGACAAAATCAGGGCAAAGGTGATGAAGGGTAACCCCAACGCTTCACGAGTGCCGTAATCGCCACCTTTCCTAGGAACTTGAAAAGGCAAATCAAAACAAAAACCACCTGAAAAGGGCTTGGAGATGTTGGCCAGTCAATAAAGATAACCTCCAGTAGCTCATCCGCACACAGGCAGTCCACAGGCAGGAATGTCAGTGAGAAAAACCACTGGTTTGCAAGTCCCTCAGCAAGGACAGCAGGGTCTGCCCACGGGCTCACCCCCCTCCAGCGGCCTTGGCCGGGAGAGGTGGGGCTCCTGAGGACACAGGCTGCCCCTGCAAGGCTGGGCCGCAGGGGACGCTCACCACAGGCCCTGACTGTCAATAAAAACCCCAGCCTGCTCTCCTTTCTACAGCAGCGTCCTGGGGGTTTACCATTCTTCGTCCTCAGATAGACAGAAGGCCTTAAGGACTCTTTACCAAATTGTTGCTCTTTGTTCAGAAACTATTTCAAACGCGCATATTTATGCACATATTAATTCCTGGCACACTGAAGCAGACAGCAGAGGCATAAGTTCTCAATAATTTATATGTGGACTGCACAAATTTTAAGCTCATTTAAATCTTACATCCAGCTGTGGCTCCACTTACTACAGAGGGACGTCTTGAACCCCAGCCACTGGGAGATTAAAACTAGCAAACTTAGATTACTCTAACGCGCGCTCCAGACCAGGAAAAAAAGTGTCCATACCTTAGAAAAATCCTGTCCCGCTTATAAAATTCTGGGTGGTATGGCCGCAGCTCAGCCCAGCGTTAGCCAAACACTCTTTATTGAGTTCCAGGTGGAGACAGATGCTCTCGTGTGACAAAAGAGCCATTAAACTACCTTCTGGGTAAGGTCTTAGTGTCAAAGTCAAACTTACGAAGGTTAACATTACAAAAGAAACAGTTGCTCGGGAAAATCTTTCCACAACCTTCCCCAAACATGCACCCAGATTAGTCATAAGGAGCAGCACGGAATCCGGAGCCGGAAAGAGCCTGCGAACCCCGAACTCCCGGGTCGGGGGGTGCGGGGAGCAGGGCTCCGGCTCGGACCCTGTGCGACAGCCGCGG